ACCCAGGTTGTTTAATAAGGTTGAAGTATAAAGATAGTCGGCACTAAGTTTTTTAGTTTTTATTTTCAAAGCCTAGACTGTGTTTAAATAGCACCAAGAAACTCGGTTTACAGTCCGCTACATCGCTATTACATAAAGACCATCAATAGAAGTATACTTTAAATCACAAAGTCTTAAGCATCAAAAATAATAAAATGAATCGACGAAGCTTTCAAAAGGTGTATTTGATGTTTTGTTCATGCTTTTGCGTTATCATTGTTTAATTCACAGCACAGAATAGATACGTAACTGAAGCGCCACTCAGCGAAATATCTGTCCCCTACTTGTACCAAATGATATGTATATTGCAATGGATAACGCACCATGTACAAAATTTTATTTAAGATAATTGAAGCCGGAAGTTGGCTCATCTGAATCCTAAAAAGTTTGTCTTCTTGGCTTTATAATGGCAGAAAATTGAGATAGTACAAGGTCGACCTGCATTGTTTTGAAACAAACCGAAGGTTATATGATGCTGCTGCTTCTTAAAAAATGTAGAAACATTACAGAATTCTACTACTGCTACCAAAACTTCATCTGCAATGACGTTTATCGAAGATTGCTACAAATTTACTTGTTCAACAACACTTTGTTATTCACATCTCTAATATCATAATAATTTCAAATTACGTCTTTATTATATCAGAGAAGAAACAAAACAAATTGACATAGAAAAATAATCAGAAAGACATTTTGATGAGCAATAGTAAGTTGAAAACGGTATCATCAAACTCCACGAGATGTACATCATCAAAATATACGAATTAAATTACCTCTGTTGTCATTAAGCGAAGCAAAGTTTTCAACCAGTTCCTATGTGAACAACTTCAATATCGATGAATACAATGAAGACATGAATACGTTTGTTCTTACTTTGTTGTAAATTTGTAATTTAAGTATTCATCTTCTAAAAATGCCTCGCACGGCTGAAATTGTCCTCGTCACCTTCAACTTTCAAATTTTAATACAACTTGCCATATTATTTTTCAGTCGTTACAAAGCCAAAAAAACAGAGCTTTAGGGTTAAAACACTTTAACGGTTTTCCTCTACACGTCATAAAAATTTTGCCTAAATCAGAAGTTTGTAAAAAGAATAAAAGCGCGAAAACTGTGATTTTGTAATACAAAAGTATAGTAAAGACGCACCGATACCACATATGAAGCCAACAGCAAATGATCGATCTTCCGGCTTTGTTTTTTGCAAGAAATGCGTTACCACTCTAATATACATATCAGTGAGTCTTACGATTTTTCACTGCAATTTTACAAGGGTAGGGGTAAAACGCGGAAATAGAATGGCTAAGCGGAAAGCCGGAGAGGAATGGCGAAGCGGAATAGGAGGTAAAACGCGGAGTAGGAAGTTATAAAATGCTGTAAATGGTTAAATAATTATTTGCCACAATAAACATATGAATTGTTCAGTTTTAGATAATGAGCGCATGTGAAAAATAAAAAAATTGAAAATTCATTCCGTGCGTATTTGCAAATTGCAATTGACTCGAAAATTAACGGAGGCATAGTCTTCACAAAACGTTGTAGATAATTCATGAAAATAGTCATAACTAAAAAGCTCAGGATACAAGACAAATGCAAGCTTAGCAGGCCATCCCCAATTTCAATTATATTTCGTTCGTGCATACGTTACGAAAAACTTAAACTTAGTAAGAGCAGCATACTTGTATTTAATCAGATTAGTGTATTTTTGGTAGTTTATTTATTGCTTGATTCATTTCGCTCACAGCACAAAGCAAATGAGCATATTTCGCTTTCAGTCTTTTACAATTTAAAAATATTTTTTGTGCGAATTTACATGATCTCAAATGACAGCAAATACTCACACAATATACGAATCAAATATATGAGCAGAAAATACAATTAATTAGTTTCAGATACTTGCAATGTGTTAAGTATTTTTCTTTAAAAAATTAAACATTGTTTGCAGGACACAGAATACTTGGAATGTATATTCTTTTGAAGAAGATACAAGGGAAAAGGAACAACAAATATCACAGCCAGTTGTATATTATTTTAACCAGTACAAGTTACGTAAGTGTGTTAATTTATTTAAATGAAAGACATTTCATTCACTTCATCAACTGTTTTAAAAGATAAGTTTTTACTAATTTTTCATGTAAATAAAACACACTTATCCACAAGTTGGATCTCTCTTTTCTCACCATTGAAAACATCACACTTCCTTTAAATATTTTATTGGTTATTATCAAACCACATTTGTTATTATAATAAAGTTGATGCTAAGTTCACCGCAAAAGTCTTTATGTGTATATAATTTTGCAAACCTGAATACGTTCTTGGAGACAACAGGAGATTAGAACATGAATTTCTCTGTTGTAAACGCAAAAATCTGTCATTAGCGTTTTGAATGCATTATTCGGGTAATGTGTTTATCAGTATACGTCGAAAAAATAAATGCTACATTCAACGTTAATTACATTATCTACTCGGATGTAACGAAGACCAGATTAAAGAGATTTTCCTGTTGTAAAATTCAGGTCCCATACGTTTAAAAATAAAACACTTTGTTGCTGGGGAAAAGCAACTTTCAATCGTGGGAAAGTGCAAGTCATACTTAAAATCTATACTTATGTATATTTATGATTATTTACCCTATACAGCATTTATTACTCTCTATTCCGCGTTTTACCTTCTATTCCGCTTCCGCAATTCCGCCATTCTGTTTCCGCGTTTTACCCCTACCCAATTTTACGACGGAAACTCTCTTTTTTGTTGAGAAATTCTCGTTTAAGAACTGACACCACAATCATTTGTCCCTTTGTCAAATGTACTAGGCAAATATACAGGACGAATAAAAACGAACTTTACCTATCTTTATAATTTCAATGCTCTGTCACTAACCTTTTTCCACGACAGGATAAAACTTCGTCATCTAAATGCATTTATTTTATATCTTTGTTATAAGCTTTGTGTGCCTTGGAATTTGACCTCTAAAACCAACATACAAAAAATAATGTAACTGTAGAATTAGCTAAGTGATCAGGAATTAAAATTTTAACAACAGGATGCTTTCTAAAAGTTTCTTTGTACACCCAATAGTTCTGAAACAAATATCAAATTACATCTACTCTTGGAGCAATGCCTGTAAAGTTTTTACCAGTATTGCGGTTTTTGTAAGTGGAAAATGTAACACCTACACATTGTAGATTTATATATGCACGTCAAAGGTAGTCAAAAAAAATATGAAAAACTTCGTTTATCACTCGTACTATATATGGTCTACAGAAAAGCTGCATCGATTGATTTTTTTTTAGATCTGATATTTCTCGGCTCTTGTTATTATAATTTCATGAAAGTTTATTACAAACTTCTCAAGTTCTCAAATTTTGTCCTATAAATAATCATTTGCTAAGGTTTACCAGCTTTTCCACTATAACGCATGCATTAAAAACACGTGTCTTTTTGCCCCCCGCATAATCTTTTAAAGTTTAAACAACTGTATATATGCCCCAGACAATACAATGGAGCTCAGCTTTTGGTCAGACAGAATTTGGTGAAATTAAGGTTCAGGAATTTATCTAATATTACCATCACATGTTGGAATGCAGAAACTTGTTCTACCCACTAATATGTTAAGGAAAAAAGCTCCTGTGTCTATCTTTCCCGGATGAAGTATTCAGTTCATAATCCATCATAGTATTTAAATTTACAGCGTAATTCTGTCGTTTCATTCCTAACAAATTAATCCTTATGGCCTGCTTGGATGAATAGAATAATATTTGGAATCTTTACAACTAAATTTTAAAATTTTTCACTAATGAATTCTACAATCTATCTAGATTTAAAAGTCCTGTTTTCTTTTACAATAGAGACAATGTTTTCATTGACGTTTTTACAAAAAAACACAGTCGAGGTCAGTGGCGGATCTAGGCTTAGTCAATATGAATTACTGTTGCACATTTTGGAATATAATTACATTTCTTAGCCCCTCAGAGACAAGTCAATTGGTGCAATTATATTCTTTAAAAATTCAAAACCAAAAGTACTTTTCTGAAAGTACTTTGAATTTGAAATTACTCAGCTTTACTATATTTTGCTCGCTGCTGCTCGCTGTGACTACCCCTAGATCCGTTACCGGTCGAGGTGTCTTAAACAGGTTTGAATGAAATACTTATAGTTTTCGTCAAACCAATTTTAGGTCCGTTTGGAAACATAAACTTCAGTGCAATGTTTTTGTCGAACGATGGCCGGATCAAGTGCAGTTTTAAATAATATAAGTAAATCGTCAATAGTGCAAATTTTTTGTTTCATTAACCAGAAACACTTAAAAAACTGTTAATCAACAATCGACGCACAATATAGGTAAAAATTACTAAAAACCAGCGTAAAAATGAGTGGAGCTAGCACAGTTGATTTCAAATTTCCTATATATCTTCTATCTTTGTTTAAAATTGCCCGAATCTTTTCCAACTTCTGCCAAAATCTGCCCGACCTTCAATTTCTTAAAAAATTATAGACATTGGAGCTTTCCCAATGCCCCATAAACCCCAGCAACAACAACATGTTACGTCAAAATTCCTTCTTTCCATCAATAAAATCAAAAGGAACTATTGTGAAGTTCAAACTAAAATGAGATCATTTCTTTATGCCAGCATGTAGCAATAGCATTTTTCTAAATTTAGATGCTTTAATGCATCGCTTAGTCCAAAGACTAAATAAGTAGTTTCATCGCCTCGTTCATGAGCGAAAACTCCATACCCAAAAGCTGTGTGAAAGTGTAATGTTTGTTTTCTTTTCCACGAAATATTGTGAATGTACCTTTTGCTCTTGTTTCACAATCATCGTCAGTTTTTTCACTTGATGGATGAGGGCTGTTCTCTTTTTTACTACTCCAGGCCTGACAACCATCAAAATTGCGATTTCTTTTGTTCTGGTTCAAATTTAAAGTAAGGAGATTCTTTCCATCAAAAACTTTCGTCAATTTCTTTTCTTAAGTTATCTTCATTATTTTGTTTTTCAGCTGCCACCGTCACATACAAAGAAAAGCGAGGTCTCCATCGTACACCATATCCACCACAAATCCAAGAAAAACTGAATAATGTCATTCAATATAGTTAGTTATATAATAACGTTAAAATTTAAGCAATTTTATTGGTCAAGAACTCAGAGCAGTAAGCAAACCAGTGAACTCAATATTTAGATAACTGGAATGATACCTGAAGCCAAAAATTGAAGCAAGAAAAAAATCTTGGAGAAAATTCTTACCGGACAGACATCAAATCAAGGTGTTTTACACATTGAACGAAAATACATGGAACGCTACCTATAATACAAAACCCTAATAATGTGTATTCAATCAATTATTACTCCGCGAGAGAGTTTCAAAACACTACACACGCGTGTCTGGGGTAAAATCTCGCGCGTGTTTGAATTAAGATTTGGCTTTAATTATTTGCTTCAGGTAGCGTTCCATGTATTTTAGATCAATGGTTTTACAGTATATAGCTCGCGTAAAAAAACTGGGTCGAGTAAAATGGGAGTCAAAAATGGTATGCTGCAAAAAGTTTTCTGATGTTATTTTGTCTTCCAAAACAAAATTTCAACGAAATTGATTAGTCATCTCTTGTTCATTCTGACAGTCAATCTTATATTGTAGCACGTGCCTTAGGCTAGCCAAAAGCATTTCTTCAATCCTATAGACCAATTTTCTAAGAGTTTGAAAGACGAAAACAACTTGTTTGCCAATTAAATCTTGGGATTTTTTGTTTTTAAAACACAAAAAAATAGATAACATTCAACCGAAGTCTGTTAAGCTATAGATACACGGGTATGACGTCATTTGTGATAAGAAAAAAAGTGGCCACGAACCAGGATAACACGAACACCATGTATTCGATTTAAGTTCAATACAGTTGTTTTGAACTAAAGTTGTTGAACTTACGTAGATGACTGACGTTTTGACAACCTTGGCAGTAGTCATCTTTAGGGTCAAATGAGGGGTTAACGTCAGGTTAACCGTATTTGTTATCTGATCATGCGTCATCTTATTGAGTGCATAGAAAAGGTGTTGGTGTGTCAATTGTGAATTGTCTTCGTGGATTAGTCTAAAGTTATGTGTTAATTGTTCGTTTGTTTGAGGTTGTGAATAAGTCGTTTGTATGGTGATTGTAATTGTTTTGATATGTTTAGCGGGTTTTGTTGAGAACTGAGAATTTGTAATCTAAAGAGAGTGTTAGCCTTGTTGAATGGTTTTTACATATCCAAGGTATAGTTCTTAAAATTAATAATTACAGATGTTGTTTGTGAAAATGCAATGTGCAATTCTTATAAAGTTCTGCTTAGTTAGTTTTTTTAGAACTACAATGGTTATAGTCGTTTTCACAATTTTTATTAGACTTTTTAATCCAATATTTTTAAGCACGATACTTCACAAAGATTTATTGAGACCAACCTTTTTAATAAATCATGAATCTCGTCTCGAATACTATAGTATTCATTCAAAAAATTTCCTCAAAAAGTTTGTCGACACTCTCTTCATCATCATCAGGAGGTGTAACTGGTGTCTTCATATCTGTGGTTGTATTAACTGTAAGAGTTGAATTTTTCATTGCTTTTGACGAAGAGTTGATGACTGCTGCTAAAATGAAAACAATCACAAAATGATATAATATTTTAGGATGATTACCTGGTCTATGGTAGTGTGTTAGTTAAACATGCACTAATGTAGATTGAAGTGAATTTTTAAAAAAAAATTTCACAAACGGATAATATTTTTGAGTTAAGTAAATACTAAATCTTATGCTGCATAATCCAAAAAGCAGGAAAGTGAAAAAAGCATTTGTTTTTCTTGTAATTAATCCAAATTATAAACAAAACAAGTAACACAGTATAAAAATTGTTATTAGATACCAACGAAGCCTGTTTAGGGAGTATTTTTTTAAAAAAATGTCACACATGAGTTATCTAAGATATGCTAAGACGTTCCATTATTACATAACCAACAACCCTTAAATACAACTAGTGACTTTGTACCTATGACTCATGATTTATAGTAGAAAGGGTTTTTTATGAACGTAGAAGCAGGGTATCAGGGAAGTGCCGCTTGTTCGCAGCTACTTTGAATATAATAAATGCTGATTTTATGATTGGAAACTTTGAACATATGAAACTGATTGATGGCAGAAAGTTAACAAATAAGTACCAATAACATAACACTTAGCCTAGATATATCATTCTTAAGTAAAAATATCTTTGTGTGCAAAGTCAATTTTGTAAAAAAAACTTCTTTGTTGTCCTATATATACCTCCAATGCACAATAATCTAGCCAAGGAGCCTGGATAGCGTTATCCACTGGATAGAAAATTTTTCTGAACGTTCATAAAATCTCTTATAACTGAAAAATGGACGATTTGAACTGTGCAATCACTGAAATAAAACATTGTTTATAAGACTACTATAAGCTTCAACAATTCCAGGCTTATGTGACCAGCAAGATACTCGTACATAAACTACTATTAAAACGACGACCGGTATACAGATAAATCTTTATTTCAATGCAATGCGTCAAACGTACGGTTCTAAACGACAGAGTATAGATATTAACATAACCGACAAGGAGGCCTAAAGCCGTAATCATCGTTACCTCGTAATTTGGCCACTAAATATAAACATCCATGTACAAAAAATACACCACTATACATGAATTGTGCTCAATCTCAAAAAGACCCCAAGAACCATGCTTTTATACGGGTCCCTTTTGTTTTCATAATAATTAGCATAATAATTAGCATAACCTAAGCTCTATGCATCTCGATCCTACATACCAGCCCCGAACGACCTACTATACGTCGTTCAATAATTCAAAAAGGATCGAGAGCTACAATACAAATGTTTTCAATGTTAACTTGCGCAAGTTTTAAACAATGTGTCCACCAATCTTGTCGAATAACCAAACATAAACCAATAGATACCGTCGTTTAACGTAAACAAAATAATAATAACAGTTAAGTGACAACAACAATAACGTTCGTTTTCTGAAGAATTTCTCGCTTTACTTCGCAGTCTCCAATAGGCACAACTTCCTGACATCTCGACGATAACGACTTTGATTCGCCGTGCGGATCTCTACTTGCCGAACATGTCCGTTGCTATCGGGAAATGTTTCTTCAACTATCGCTAGAGGCCATTCACCTCTGGGAGTATCTTCCATCACCATCAAAACGACATCACCTTTGATTAAGTTTCGTTTTGGGTGTAGCCATTTCTGTCGTTCTTGCAAACTTGGCAGGTATTCTTTTAACCACCTTGCCCAAAATTGGTCAGCTAACTTCTGCGCTTGTTTCCATATTTCTCGGGGGGTTATTTGCCGTAGGTGAAGAACTTGCACTTGTGCTTATGTTTCGATAACGCAGGAGTAGAGTGTTTGGTGTAAGAGTTGATAAATCTCGAGGGTCATCACACTGCCGTACAAGAGGCCGATCATTCACTATTTTCTCGACTTCGCACATTACTGTAAGGAGTGTTTCATCATCAACAACTCGGTCTCCTATTATAACACGCATTTGCTTCCTGATTGTTCTGATCATGCGCTCCCAAACTCCCCCCGCTATGGCTTGCTTTCGGAGCAGAGAAATGCCATTGAATTCCCTTTTCTCTTAGACGATCTAATATTCTAGCTTGATTCCAATTTTGCAACATTTGCTTAACTTCAGATTCCGCTCCTCTAAAATTCGTCCCGTTGTCACTGAACAACTCATTCGGCGGTCCGCGTCGACTGACGAACCTACATACGGCTTGAATGAAGGAATCTGTCGATAGGTCATGTGCAATCTCAATGTGTATGGCCCTTATGGCTAAGCAAGTGAATACACAGCCATATCGTTTTTCAGTTCCTCTTTATATTTGACTTTAAGAGGTCCAAAATAATCGACTCCCACAGATGAAAACGGGTACTCACCAGATTTCACACGAGCTTTGGCAGTGGGGCCATTATCTGCTTCCCTGGAGACTGGTTTCGGCGACGACACGGAACACAATTATTGACTATACTCTTCACAGTGCTAGGTCCCTTTATTATCCAGAAGCGTTGCCGTATTGCTGCTAGAGTTTGACTGGTTCCAGCGTGACCTTCCTTTGCATGGTAATACCGGACAATGAGCTTTGTAACGTGATGACTGGAATCAAGAATTGCGGGATGTTTAGATTCTTCCGGCAGCGATGATTTATCCAAACGTCCACCAACTCTCACAATTCCTCCGGCGATGACTGGACATAGTTTAGCGTATCTCTCTCTCATAGTTTTCTCGTTGATAGATGAACTTCGTTGGGTAAGTTTAATTATTTCCTGGGTTGCCGATTCAATCTCTTTTACCTTTAGAGGACCACGTTGTACTTCTAATCCTGGACCGTTTGGATAACGGCTTAAGATGTACTGTTTGAATCTTAGCAGCCATGCAACCGACTTCTGCAATCTGTACCATTCGGATGTTCGATGGATAAGTTGTATTAGCGAATCAGGGTGCATCCTTTGAGTTGATGACGGCACCAACTCTTGCTTTAGGTTTCTTTACTTCCACATCTGTGTCTTCTACGTCTGGTATGTCATCTAGCTGCGTTGGCCATAATTTGGGATCTTTCCAAAGGAAATCGGGTCCGTTCAACCAAAACTGCAAGTCCCGTTGGTCTTGGCCTGTTGCGCGACCAAGACTTATACCTCTTGATGCAAGGTCGGCTGGGTTGAGCTTGGTTGGCACATGTCTCCATTGATTCGGAGTAGAAGCATCGTGAATAACTTGTAATCGATTCGCTACAAAGGTTTGAAACCTTTTGTTCTCGCTCTTAATGTAACGCAGCACTATCATTGAATCGCTCCAGAAAACAATTTGACTTATTGACAGATCCAACTCATCACAAATTTGTTTATTCAGCTTCACGGCCAATGTTGCAGCGGTTAGTTCCAATCTGGGTACCGTGACTGTTTTAAGAGGTGCAACTCTTGATTTGCCCATAACTAAGGTACAATGAATCCTTCCTTGGGTATCTTCCAGCCGAAGGTACGTTGCTACCCCATATCCTTCAGTCGATGCGTCAGCAAAATAGTGGAGTTCCGCATTCCTTGTCTTGTTAAATTCGTGCGGTTTATAGCATCGAGGTATTTCTAATTTCACAAGGGAATGGAATTCGCTTTGCCAGTCATGCCATATTTCGCTTGTCTCGATTGGGAGATCTTCGTCCCAGCCGTGATTTACTCGACACAGGTTTTGCATTATGCGTTTGGCTGGTAAAACGACAGGAGCGACTAGACCAAGGGATCGTAGACCGAAGCTATGAACGATAGAATCCCTCTTCTTGACTCTGCTTTCAATTTGCTTCCCGGAATCCCAACGTGTCCCTTTCCGTATTCCACTGAACGCCCAATGCTTTCTCCATCGGCAACTTCTCCAACTGAAGGCTGACGCATGGCGCTCTTTCTTTGTTAGGTACGTGAGATAAGACTTCTCGATCATTTGACACCCACTTTGTGAGATGGAATCCACCGCGAGACAGCAAAACTGGTAGTTCGTCTACCAACTTCATTGCTTCTTTCCTTTCTGGTAAAGACTTGAGACAGTCATCTACATAAAAGTTACGATCAACTGTGTCGACAACTTGTTTGCTGAATTCTTCCCGATTATCTGAAGCTGTTCTTTTTAACGCGTAAGAACAACAACTTGGGGAAGAGGTTGCTCGAATAAATGAACAGTCATTTGATGCTCTACTGGTTCTTTGGATAGATCTCCCTCTGGCCACCATAGAAATCTCAGTGCATTACAGTCTTCTGGCTTAACCTTCACCTGATGGAACATCTTCTCAATATCTGCCATTACCGCTATCTTTTCCTGCCTGAACCGCAACAATACACCAACTAATGAATTGGTATAATCTGGTCCTTGAAGAAGCTGATTATTTAGGGATGCGTTGTGGAACTTCGCAGCACAGTCAAAACGATTCTTGTCTTTTCTGGTTTTTGCGGGTGTGTCACAGGGTGATGAGGCAGATACCAAACCAGTTTTTTGAGTGACTCGTCCTGTGTATTTTGTTTATCCACTTGAACTACTTTAGCGTGCCCTTTTGAGATGTATTCCTTCATCGTTGCCTTATAATTTGCGTGAAGTATGGGGTCCCTCTCAAGTCGTTTCTTCAAATAAGCAAGTCTCCTTTCAGCCATAGACTTATTGTACGGGAGGAGTGGGTCATCGTATTTCCAAGGAAGACCAATTTCATATTGATGATTTTCTAGCTTGACAGTTCTATCCATTATTGCCTTTGCGCGACGATCCTCGACCGACAGACATTCTTTAACGTCAGCAGCCGACTCGCTAAACTCTGAATTGTAGAGATTTTGCAATTGCTGACGAATGGAACTCATACCATCTTCCCTTTCCATACACCCAAGAGCTTGATCAACATGAATGAAGTTCATCTGAGCTTCTTGATAAGGTTTTCCTTCAGA